GTTAAAATTCCACACCGGGGAGAAGCTGAAACTGTGGTTAGTTACTGTGTTTGGGCTTCGCGATGTGGCCTAACAAAAGTGACCCCAGTTTGGCTCGCTGTTTCTGTTTCGACGATGGGAAGACTCAGTGTTTTCTTCGTGGCTGGACTCTCAAAGCCTTGACTAGTGCTGAGGACACAGTTAAGGGCCCAGTGAATGCTCGCTGGTGAATAAACAAGTGATAGATGGGCAGACAGGCAGGCTCTACCCCTGGCTTTTCCGTATGTGTGTGTGAGACAGTGGGTACTTTCCTGACGCTGATTCCAGGAAGACAACGTTCAGGACCGCAGTGCCGTGACCTGGGTAACTGGTGAACATGCTGGCTTCCCGAGTTCAACGGGCACTCGTGGCTGAGTGATGAAATCCTAACGAGACTACTGTGCTCGAGTCTACCTCCCTTTCTCAGGTACGACTCTTGAAGAGACAACAAACAAAATAACCTGCTTGTAATAATCATCAGCTTCATTTTCTATATCAAATGTAGTGTTTTATTTCCTTTGTAAACCAGCAGTATGTGCTACATTAAATGTTTTCTTTTAGTATACAAGTAACCATCGTATTAATAACATTTGGAAAGTGGAGAAAGTACAGGAAAAAAGTCACCCCCGACTTCCCTAGGCTCACAGAATGACCAGCGTGTCTGTGCATGACCTTTTCTCCCCGTGCTTGTGCGGGGCTGTTACGTGTAAGTCCATGGACACACGGCAGGGTGGGCTTACAGACTCCTCCTTCGTTTAGGATTGTGCGGTGTTTACCGCACACGGATCCATTTCAGTAGTTACTCATATACATTTTAGGATTTTTCCAAATAAATTGATAATTTCAAAGACAAAATTTTCTTTCTTTATTTTTAGAGAGGGGAAGGGAGAGAGAAAGAGAGAGAGACATCAGTTGGTTGCCTCTTGCACCCCCCAACTGGGGACTTGGCTGGTAACTCAGGTGGGCACCCTGACTGGGAATCGAACCAGTGACCTTTTGGTTCATAGGCAGGTACTGAGTCCACTGAGCCACACCAGCCAGAGCCAGACATAATTTTCCTGGCCTGGAATTATAAGTAAAAAAATGTGCAGTAATGGTTAACTTGACACAGATTGTGAAATTGCTTTGCCAATGCCATGCCAATTGATTCAGCTACCACCTGATTATAATTTAAATGTTATCAGCGTGTAGTATGGAAAATAAAAACCTCATCGGTCTTTCAGTTTGCATTTCAGAGCATTGCTAGGGGAAGAGAACCTGGATCATGACTGGTTACTAGTGGTATTTTAGATGACTCTCTTCTAGAATCATCAGACACTGAGGGGAAAGTCTGTCTGCTAGTTGGGCCCCTGTCCCTTCGCTGCGAGGCGAGCAGTTAGGAGCACACAGAGCGAGGGCTCTGGGATTCAAACCCACGTTCCTGAAGGAGCTGGACGTGCGTGCACCAGCCTGCGAGTGGTTACGTTTCTATGCATTTAGACTAAAGGGGGGGGTGACCAAAAACGAGAATGTGACCGTTTAGCTAATGTTCTTGTCTTCAGGGGTCTCTTGCACTCTCTCTGCAAGTGAGGGTCCGTCTTAGGAATTAGAAGAGCTCACTTTTTCCTCAAGTATTAATATTTTTAATCAAATTTTTTAATTGATTTTTTTTTTTTAGAGAGAGAAGGGAGGGAGGGAGGGAGAGAGGAAGGGAAGGAGGGGGTGGGACAGAGAGAGGGAGACACATGCGTGTGCTGTCCCACCCAGGTGTGCACCCACTGGGGATTCTCGCAACCAGCAACTGTGGGCATCAGGGCAGTGCTCTAACCAACCACACTGCCCAGCCAGGGCAAGTTTTATTATTATTTTGATTTTTAAAAGTGAGACGCTCACACTCATCATTAAGCCCTTGCTGAACATGTGATGTGACAGATAACTAGCCTTCACGACAACCCCAGGGAGGTTAATACTAATTATTACCAACACCTCCTAGAAGAACAAACCGGAGGCTTAGGGAGGCCAAGTAACTTGAGGTCACGTAGCCGCCTGTCTCTGAACCTCGTGCGCCCGTATCGTTAAGCAGCCAGTAGGCTGATTCCTTTGCAGCCAGCAAAGGACACTTAGTCCTAGCCTTCTCTGGCGAGTCCGGGTACAGCCAGCAAAATAAGTAAATAAAGCACTGCTGTCATACCAAGGAGAAAGACACCCTACCAGTCACTCTTAGGTGAATGCTTGTCACCACAGCCCAGGCTGGGTGGAGGAAGGGGTGACTGGATCTTAAACTCTAAAGCTGGAACACATTTCCGGAGTGATGATGTACCTGGAATCCTCTCAGATCACGGGTGGAAAGTAAACACAAGGCCTGTGGCCGACTCCTACCCTCCACCTTGTTTATCCGGCTCAGCACCTTGTTTCTACCCGGGGGCAGGGCTGAGCTCTCACTTCACTGTTAAGGAGCAGTTACGTTCTTCCAGTCCTGACATTACATTCGACCCTTTGAGGGCAACCGCAAGGCTGCTGTGGCCCCCGGTGGCAATGAGTGTGACAGCCCTGCCTTATTTAACTGAAGTTGCTTGGTTTACCTGCTCGCATTTGGGCAAGTCAGGCAACCTGCTGTCAGGCACTGGAGGGGGCTGTCAGCTGCTGTCAGGCACTGGAGGGATTTTCACAGTGACAGTCCACCATTGACCTCTTCAAACAGGCCACTTGCAAAGGGGGTGATTTGGTGTTAACCTGTCCTCATCTTCCCAACCAAAGGCGGGGGGAAGGGGACATGATTGGTTAAGGTTGTTATTATACTGAGAACCATTTGCTACGGAGGTGAGATCCAGACATTCAGATTTCTCAGACAAACCAATACCCAGTTTATCAGTCTGAAATTCAATACAACACAACATTGGCTTATACAAAAATATTAAATGGCTATTTTTTCCTTATTAAAATGCAGGATTAATACTCTGCACTAACATATATATATATCTGTGGTACAAACATAAAATTCCAATTTCAGAGAACCCAAGAATCCAGAGGCTTATTCGTGATTTAATCAGGAATAAAATACCTCTCTGAATTTTCCACAACTTGTCTTACCATCGTCCTTCCCTCAACTTCTTGCACAAATTATGCACTGACCTTGGCCAGCTAAGGTCACTGAGGCTGCCCACAGACCGAGCGTGGCCTGCGGGGATGTGCGGTGCCGTGAGCATCCTCAGGCATCTGACCTGCTGGTTTCCTGCCTTCCAGCTCTAACTTGGGACCGGTTCCTGCGTGTTACTCTTGAAGCCTTTTGGGGCATTACGACAATGTAAGAGCTGCGTGTGTTTTCTCGGACTGTCAGAAGGTGCAGGGCAGAGAAAAGAAAGGCGGGTACCCTGCATACACCTATTTTCCCAAAGCAGCCACTGAGACTGTGTGAACTGAAATAAAACTCTGTTCTCACATAGAGCAAGGGACACCGGACTGAATCCGGAGCCTCAGGGGCTAAATTGTTGAACGCAACACTGTAACACAGCGGATTAGCTGCCTGTGACCTGGAATAGATGGCACAGAGTAGACCTACGTTGGGTTTCAGTGTTGGCTCTGTTAGCCAAACTTAATGAATCCCTCAAGCCTGTATCTTCAGTGGGAGAAAGTCAGGGTTAGACTCGGCAATAAACAGTTTAGTCCCAGCTTTGAGCCAGTTTGTAACCCTTGCTTTTAATACAGTAGCTTCAGAAACTTTCCTTCTAGTGAGTGGTAATTAATCTGCATCACGGACCCCTCCCTTCACTAATGAGATTCAGTTATTGACCAAAGACCAACATAGCTCAACAAGTGGGACAGAGGAAAACAATCCTACACATGCACTTTATTCATTTCTCCTCCCCTCCCCTCCCCCATTTCCTTTACTTATATCCCCTCACTGACAGCGTTCCTCACTTTTATAGAAGGGGAAAGAGGCACGAGGTAGGTTATGGACTCAGGTCCATGGAAAATGGCAGAATCCAAACCAGAGCGAAGCTTCCCCCCTAAATGCCTCCTGCCTCCGCCTCAACACTCAGGCACAGGAAGGGGGTTTCACCGTGTCCTTGTGGGTGACTGCTCTGGACGCCTTCAGAGAGACTGTTTCAAAACTGCCCTTTCTTGCCTTTAAATAAAGAGGAAAGGAGAAAATAAAAATAAACCATATACACAAAGCCCAGAGCAGATAAACTGGATGATTTAATTTAATATTAGCAAGGGTCAAATTGAATCTTAGTAATGAAAATAAACACAGTAATATTTCCCTCAAATAAAACATTGGGAGGAAGAAGCATTTCTAAAAAAAGGGGAAAAAAGTTTATTTGGAAAAGCAAGCCTCTTCTTATACAAAGTTTTTAATCTATACTCTCACTCTGTCAATTACAATACTTTAAAATACATTGAATACAATATATAATTCAGTGAATGTCTATTACTACTGTTCTACCTCAGTTTAAAAGGTATTAGGTTAAAAAATATTTACTTTTTATTCTGGTCCTTCTTCCCTCCTATCTTTATACTAAATCCATTTCTCTACTTTTCAAATAAGTGAAAAGGGGTCAAAATATTTGTGGGGAGATTAAGAATGTGTCCAGTAATTCTAACCAAAACATAATTTTCCTTAAGAACGTCTCAGAAAAAGGGAGCTACTTATTGAACTAAAAATACTTCGCAGCATCCCTCCCAATCCTATCCTTACACATTTGCCTGAGGCCAAACCTCTGACCATATTTAATTAGCAGGCATTAAAAAAAAACAAAAAAAAGCAAAACCTAAACACTCTAAGACTGAATATTTCACACAGCTCTAAGCTAGACACAGATATAAATGGAACCACTATGAATCAAAGGGGAGAAATTACAGGAAAAACAACAACAAAAAGATTCTAAGTCTCACAGTTTAACTGAGGTTTTAGAAAAATCTAAGCTGAATTCAGCTGCTGTTTGAAATGTCTGTCTACATTTAATTAGATATATGTTGGATTTACTAAGGAGGCACAAATATATAGTTTTGTATATTTTAATACTAATTTTTACAGTGAAAAACAATACTTAGTGATCTCAAAAGGGACAATGATCTATAAACACACACACAAAAAAGTCTTTGAAAAGGGGTGCAAAAATAGTAATTTAATGAACTCAAGAACTGGGCTTCTAAAAAGCATCCTAAGAAGAGGTACCGGAAGGGTGTTGGTGAGCACAAGTGTCCAGAATAGCCAGCCAGGATATGTCCAAGGTTTTATGCCTTAAGTTTCCTAAATATATAGCAGGCCAGGCAACTACTGATGCTGGGAAAATACCTTCGCCAGGATTTTATAAAACTTTCAACCACTATTTCTAGTCAACCTTTCAGTGGTAATAATGTCTGACAATATGTTACAAATAACACTGAAGCAAGATTAATTTTAAATTTTAGATTTGCTTCAAACAAGTTATTTTTCTTTGTAACGGAATGCAGATAACTCAGCAGAATGGTTGAAAAAGTTAAGGCTCCCTAAAGATTCTAAAGACTAAAACTTAAGGCACATATGAAATCTTCATGACGCTGTTAAAAGCTAAGATTAAAAAAAAAATCCAACTTCTTCCCCTCCTTCTCTGCCAACCACTCCCTCCCCAAAGGATATGGCATCTTAAATTTGGGACAATGGTAAGGAGTGAAAGAAAAATTTCTTCAAGGAACACCCGGCAGGGTTTCCAGGCAAATGCCCACTGTTTGCATTGAGCACCACTGGGAGGCTGCAGGCCAGACGGTTTTCCGGTGTCTTGGGTCACAAGCTGCCTCATTCACCTTCGGCCCCGTGGTTCAGACTGGACTCTCCTCCTCTGCAGGGCTCCCCTCTGTGCCCTTCTGCTCTGGAGCTTCTGCTGCGTTGGTAACTTCTTTTGGCTTCTCAGTATCAACATTGGCCTCTTCCTCTCTTTCCTTTTTCCGCTGCCTCTCTGCTTCCTGTTCCTTTGCCACAAGCCAATAATTGATGCCCATGCCGATGAAGAGGTAGATGCCTGCGGCGATGAGAATGACGCCGCAGGCCCAGTATGTATATTTGTAGTCCCCGTACATGTCATTGAAGCGACCTAAAGATGTCCAAAAAAGACAGAAAACAACCACCAATAAATAGTTACGGGGATAAAAGTAATACCCGGTCCCAAATGAAGCTCAAAGATCTACACGGAAAGATGTCAACCCAATTTTCAAATGACAAATTAGTTTACAAAGGAACTGCTAACGGTGATCTGCCCTTTTCTTTACAATGTCACAGTGGATTTTGGATGGCCTTGCGCATTGTTATTTTTAACAACTTCACTCGTCCTGTGCTAAAAACTGCCTAACAGCAATACCTTCACAGCATTCACAGTGCTCAAACCTCACAACAGGCCGATTCTATCATCATTGTGCGGGAGCCTTAAGTAACTTGTCCAAGGTCACAGAGTTAGTAACAGGCTGGTTCTAGAGCCAGGAAGTCTGAAGCTGCAACTGTAACCTCTGTGCTACAGGATACCTCCCTAATGTTCCCAAAGTCAATTGAGGAAATGGCATAGCTTATTTTCTATTACGGATTCACAATGCATATTAGCACGTCGAGAGCTTTGCAAGGTCTTGTAGTAAAGAAATCTATTTAACTTGGTGTTTCCAAGGTTTTTTTGTTGTTGTTATAAAATCCTTGTTAACCCCTGTTACAGTAAAATTCATTAGTATCTCATCAGATTGGCATCTCACACAATCAACTCTGGACAATCCTACTCTACACTATCCAAAGAACCAATTCAAATACGATTCCACGTGTTTCTAACTCAGAGCATCACTTGCTCAGAATAAGAGTACTTATTGTGCCTCTCCATACACCAGACACTGGGTCTGCTGGGCCCTGAGGAGAAAGGTGAGCAAAGGATACATCTACAGTTTAGTGGAGGAGAGAAGTGTTACTCTAAAGAATTACACTGACTGTGACAAGTGCTATCGGGAAGGTTTGAAAGCAGAAAACAGTGTTGGGATCAGTCAGCAGAGTCAGGAAGGTTTCTCGAGAGTAAACTAAGGCCCAGACTTACAGGAGGAAGGAGCTACTGGGGAGAGAGGGATGGGTCAGGGATCCAGGCAGAGAACAGGAAGTACAAAGGCAGGTGGTAGGAGGCAGGCCAGGAGGTGAAGGGGGAAGGGAGAAGGGCCGGGCTGCTGGAGGAGAACACAGACTGGTGGTGGGGGCAAATGAGGCTGGAGGGAGAGGTGGGCCCTGAGGACCACATTAGGACATTTGATCTTCACCCTAAGAATGACAGGAAACAACTCTAGAAAGCAACTTGAGAGTTTTAATGAGCTGAAACATCAGATTTGCATTTGCAGGGGTAATTTTGCCTGCAGAGTGGGGAAGAGATTAAAGGCTAGCGAGAGTGGATAAAGGTAGACCAGTTAGAGGTAGAAAGCATGGATAAGGGAGGTACTGCAATGGAGAAATGTGTATGTTAGAAAGAGATGTAGGAAGTGGAACCTGACAAGATTTGGCAACTCACTGGGCATGGCAGGAAAAAGTATGAGTTACATCCAGAAGGGGGGCCAAATTACTTTTTCACTAAGTGCTGTCTATTGAGCTAGCAATATAAAAAACGAAGTATTTAATAACCTTAGGAAATAGTCCCCAAATTGCCCAATTACTAGCCTCCATGAGGCTCCTCTATGAGGAGGCTAGTAATTGTGTGATATAAGGCAAATTATTTAACTTTTCTTTATTTTTTGTCATTTGAATTTTTTATGTGAGTTTATTGGAGCCAAGCTGATGATATATACCAGGGAGCAAGATCTCAAAAACTCTTATTTCACTTTTCGAATCCTCTGTTTCTTCACTTATGAAGAAGGTACTCGAGTACTCTCACAAGGTGTAAGAGGATACGGAAAATAGGCCAGTGCATGGTGAGTTTACGTGGTAGCTATTATTATTACTACTAAAATAAACTCCATTATTATTTAATAAAAATGCAATTATGACTGGTCCTTTAGAGGTAGAGTTGTATTTTACATGTTTTCTTATAATAAGCACATATGTGTTACAGAGAGGAAACATTTTAAGAAACAATGCCATTTGTAAAAATATTTTACTCCCCTCCTAGCTTGATGGTTCAGTTTAATTCAACCCTGTGAGTATCTGAGCAGTTACGCTGTGCCAGGCACTGGGGGTAGAGAAACCCGCAAGACCTGTTCTCCTCCAGCAAGAGGCTCACTGGTCTCTGCTTCCCGTCACCTTCCCAGTCTCTGCCTGCTCTGTGTTAACATGGAGATAGGAGAAGTACTATACCTAACAGCGGCGGCCCCAGGAGGACAGGGCAGCACTCCACAATGGTCACCAGTCCCACGGCGCTGGAGAACTTCTGCGCTCCAACAAGGTCCATCAGGGTTTCAAACAGTACTGAGCTGAGCCACCCAAATGCAAACCCAAAAACCCCTGCATAGATACAGAACCCAATGTAGGTGGTAGACAAAGGTGCTAGCAGATGACACACTCCATTTGCAATAACAGAAGCAGCAAAAAAATACTGAACTCGAGGTCTTATCCACTTTGTGTTGGCTAGAAGTCCCATAGATGGTCTGGCTACCATGTCAACAAAAGCCAGGATGGAAAGAAGGAAGGCAGCCTTCTCACTAGAGAAATGCTTACTCTTGCCATAATTACTAAGAAAGACCAGAGGAGCAAACAGTCCAAAAAACATGATCATGTTTCCAGAGAGGTACAGCAAGAAGCCTCTGTGAGTGAACAGGGTAAAGTCCAGGAACTTATTAATTGTTTGGAAGACTGACTGCTTCTCCTTTTTGGGGTTTCCTCCAATGAGGTCTGTGTTTGCATCACCTGCCACTTGTTTCAAGTCAGATTTTCCAGCTTCCTGAAAGGTCTCTTTAGCGTGGTATTTCTCCGATCTGGTGGGCGGGGGCCCTATGGGTCGCATCAGGGCTCCGGCCACGCAGCAGTTCAGGAGGAGGCCTCCAAGAATTAGGAAGCTTCCTCTCCAGCCAAAGATACCAAAGAAAGTCTGATTGAGGGGGGCCAGAGTACAGAGGAACACGGGGCTGCCTGCCATGGCCAGTCCATTTGCTAGTGGCCGCCTCTTGTAGAAGTACTTGCCAATCATGGTCAGAGCTGGATTCAAGTTGAAGGCAAGCCCGAGACCTGGGGAGGAGTGGAAAAAAAGGGTCACATGCTGTAATCAGTGTCAGAGAGATACTTGGAATTACTTAACCAGACAAATAAATTAAAATAAAGGTGTAAGTAATGGAAGGAGGCAAACATCCGCATTACTGAAGGATGTGTTATGAGCTCTACGTCCAGACTACGCGGGCCACAGCTCGCATCACGACTTATTGTTTGTGTGATGTCACACACGTGGGCCCTCCTGTGACTGCTCCCTAATGTGTGACAGGCACACAGCACTGCTACGAGTAAAGCACCCAGTGCCTGGCATGTGGTAAATACTTAGTTATTCTTGTTATTGTTTATATTATTTAAAAGGTGAATATCTGTCAAATCTAGCAAAATCACCAATAACTATAGGGGACCACAGAGTAGGCTGTCATCAAATAGAGAGGAAACAGTATTCCAGCAGAAAATACAACATGAAATTAGCCCTTCTACAATAGCATCCAAAACTGTAAGTTGTGAAATTAATACTAGAATTAATAATGGCTACAATTCGGTAATTTACTGAAATGTTGGAGAATTAAAAATGACACACATAAGATGTTTGGATAATAAAACACAACACTGTCGAGATGTCAATACTCTCCAAATGAACACACAAACTGTATGTGACTCCAATGAAAACGTGACTGTGTTTCATGGTGTAGATGAGGTAAAATGACCTTGACACATACTTGGAGAATACATGGGAGCCAACCAAGAAATTTTTGGTGATGGAGAAGGAGGAGTGAGACTAATTTAAATGGACTTATGAAAGCTACTGGGCGTTATCAGAACAGTGTGGCTCCCTCTGACTCACTGACAGGTAAACACTGATCAATGAAAGTGGACAAAGTTCAGGAACATACCTGAAATATATAAACACTTAATGTTAAACAAAAGTGACATCTTAAATCACCACAGAAATAATTATTCAGTAAATAGTGCTAGTACAAATAAATAACTTCTACATGCCTTTCCCGCCCCTCTTGTTCTCCACCATTTGTGTTTAAGCTATTCACACAGGATTAAACCAGTTACCAGTACACCAGAGCAGGTCACTCCCCTATTTCAAACCTGCTAATGGCTTTCTATCCATGACCTTTATCCCAGCCCTTCCTCCCTCCCGAGCTCATACCAGACCGTTCTGACCTGTGCTAATGAGCATGCAGTTGACTTACGGCCAGTCTCCCCTGCATTTCCACAAAGCTAGTTCCACGTTCTTCCTCAGACCTCCATTAAGGTCATCTCTGAAGTGCGTCCTTCCTTCCCTGTCCAAACACTTCATGTTGAGGCCATGCACAGCATCCATCACTACCTGCTCCTTCCCTTATCCACCCGCATGTCCGTGAGTAGTGCTGTCTGCCTCCACCCATCAAAGACCGTGATTTGGCCTGAGTGTTGCTCTATCCCCAGCATCCAGAACAGTGCCTCACACAATACGGTCGTTTGCTCAGAGTATTTTAAGAGTAAATGAATAAAATGGCTAATCATGTGGGAACAAAATATTTCGTTCCTCTTATTTTATGTTAAATGTTTTTCATCCACAAGTTTTAAATGTAAAAAAAAAAGGGGGGGGGCATATTTTTACTTACTTATTTTTTTTAAAAAAGAGCATATTTTTTAAAGTAGGCAAATATTTTCATAATATTGGAGTGGAAAATAACTTTCTGAGAATAATATATAAGACAGAAATCATGGACTGAGAATACGTTTAATTATGGAAAAATATTGGAAAAGACTAAACTTTTTTCAAACAAAATTCAACAGTAAAATATTCAGAATATTTGTACACACACATTCACAGCAGCATTGTTCATAACACCTAAAAGGTGGAAGTAATTCGTGTCCATCAGCAGACAAGTGGGTAAATAAAATGTGGCGTACATATACGACGGAGTATTACTCAGCCTTACGACGTCTGGACACGGGCTGTGACGGGGTGGGTGAACCTTTACAACATGATGTTAAGTGAATTCACCAGTCACGTGCAAACAATAACTATGATTTTGGGAGAAGGTAATTCGCCCAGGACACATCTGATAAGGGGTTAGTACCCAAAATTTATTAGTACTCAACACCACAAAAGCAAACAAAAAGACAACTTAAACAATCCAATTAAAAAATGGGCAGAGACCTGGCTAGTGTGGCTCAGTGGGGTGAGCACCGGCCTGCGAACCAACAGGTCCCTGGTTCAATTCTCAGTCAGGGCACATGCCTGGGTTGCAGGCCAGGTCCCCAGTAGGGGGTGTGTGAAGAGGCAACCACACATTGATGTTTCTCTCCTTCTCTTTCTCCTCTCTAAAAATAAATAAAATCTTTTAAAAAATGGGCAAAGGATCTGAATAGACACTTCTCCTAAGAGGACATATGAAAAAATGCTGAATATCCATAATCATCAGAGAAATGCAAATTAAAGCCACAATGAGATACCACCTCACACCTGTCAGAACGGCTGTCATCAAATGGCAAGTGTGTATGGGGATGCGGGGAAAAGGAAACCTTGTGCACTATTGGTGTGAATACAAACACTACTGGCACAAACACTAGGGAAAACAGTGTGGAACTGCCTGGTGACCCAGCAGCTCCACTTCTGGGTATATACTCAAAGAAGCCCAAAACACTAATTTGAAAAGATAAACGCACCCCTATGTTCAGTGCAGCATTACTGACAACAGCCAAGATATGGAAGCAACCCAAGTGCCCAACAATAGACGAGTGGATCAGAAAGTTATGGTACAGACAGCGGTTGGCGAAAGTAGATTTGCAGTTGTTTGTATGGGAAAGACAAGCAGGTATGATTATTACAACAGCTCTATTAACTCAAAGGAATGTGACAACAACACAGTGCACTTGGGTACAGTCTGGGTATTCTCGTGACATTCTTTTGAGTTAATACAGCTGTTGTAATCATAACTTGTATGTCTTTTTTTTATGTATTTTTTTGCATGTCTTTTCCCATACAAATAGCTGTAAACCTAGTTTTGCCAGCCCCTGTATGTACAATGGAATATTACTTGGACATGAGAATGAAATCTTACCATTTTTAACAACATGGATGGACCTACAGGATATTATGCTGAGTGAAATAAGTCAGAGAAAGAAATGTGATTTTACTTACAGGTGGAGTCTAAAGGACAAACAAAATAGAAATGGACTCATAGATACAGAGATGGTTGCCAGAGGGGAGGGGGTTGGGGTTCTGAGTAAAGAAGGTGAAGGGGTCAAGTACAAATTGGGAGTTACAAAACAGTCACAGGGATATAAAGTACAGTACAGGGAATATAGTCAGTAATATTGTAATAAACATGTATGGTGCCAGATGGGATACTTGAAATATCAGGTAATCACTTTATAAACTATGATCATCTAACCACTATGCTGTACACCTGAAACTAATATAATATTGAGTAGCAAAAAAAATAACTAAATAAAAAACCCCAAAACCCAACTGTTTAATTCCACCTGTAAGAGGTACTTTGAATTGCCAAATTCAAAGACAGAAAAAAATGGTGTTTACCAGGAGCTTGCGAAGGGGGGAAGGGAAGGATAGGTGTGACTTAGTGGGTATAGAGTTACAGTTTTACAGGATGAAAAGTGTTCTGGAGACGAATGGTGGCGATGTGAATGTATGTCATAACACTGAACGGCGTGCGCTCTGGCTGGTGTGGCTCAGCGCTCTGCGTGCCCGCCTGCAAACCAAACGCTTCCCAGGCAGGGCACATGCCTGGGTTGTGGGCCAGGTCCCCACTGCGGGGCATGCAAGAGGCAACCACACACTGACGTTTCCCACTCTTTCTCCCTCCCTCCCCCTATGTAAAAATAAATAATTAAATCTTAAAAAAATAATACTGAACTGAACACTTAAGTGGTCAATAAGCATTTCTTTAAAAAACAGAGACACAAACATAAAAATATTTACTTTCCTAGTAAAGGGATGAAAATTAAAACTGAGAAATACTGTTTATCTGTTAAAATGGCAATGATTAAGAGAAATAATATCCTGTTATTGTCAAGGGTATATCTGTTTCATATATTATAGTGGAACTTATAAATAAATACAACCTTTCTGGATGGAAATTTAGCTTATATGTATTTAAAAAACATAGCAGTTTCACTTTTACAAATGTATCCTAAGAAAATATTCATATTTACAAAAGACTATCAACATAATACTATTTACTAATAATAGAGGGCAACCCCCCCCAAAGCCTAAAGATTCAATAAGCAACTAAGAGTCAAATAAAATTATGGCATATATCTATTCCATGGGGATAACAGAGATTAAAAGTTTTCTATCAGAACATTTAATGATAGATGTGCATAATCTATTAAGTGGAAAAAGACTGGCTATAAAACATGTTATCTGATCCTTTTTTGTTCTAAAAAAGGTTACTTGTGCAGAGAAGGAAATGTGCAAGGATACAGATCAAAATGTTAACAGTCATGTTCTCTGGATTGTAACGTTATGAGTAGTCTTTGGCCATTAAAAAGTGGAGAAGGATTATCAAGACGATCCTGTCCCTCAGAAATGTACGCAGACATTCCACAAAGTAATTCTCGCTTTGTGTTTAACACTCTCTCCTCCTCCAGTAGAAGCCCATTCCCCCTGACAGGAAGAGGTAAGGCGAGAGAATTAGAACCAGTGACCACCCTTGCAACAAGTTGCCAGACTCATTTTATCTACTACCACGGATTATTCTTAGGACGAGAAATGCAATCATCTCTTTCAACTTATTCATTCATCCAACAATGAACACCTACTGTATCACAGTAATTTTTTAAAAGATAATTTCTAGTACTTTCAATGTATTTACAGCTCTTTAAAATAATAATCAAGTAACTTCTGTAAGGAAGGAATTTCACAAGAGATCTCAAAGACAGTTGCAGGTGAACACCAAATAGCCAGCAATTAATGCTTGAAAATGAACCAACAGCAACTCACCTCCGATGACTCCAATACATACGTAAAGCTCCTTTACGCTGTTACAGAAAGAAGCTGCAACCAAGCCGCAGCCAGACAGGCAGCCACCAACAATCATCACGGGACGGCTGCCATATTTGTTCACAAGGATACTGCTGATAGGACCTAAGAAAGAACCAAAATTTAGTGGCACGGAGGAGAAGAACCTACCCCCTCAGATTTACACAAGGCGTTAGTGACACTAAATGACAAGTCCTCCAAAATAAATAGTACAACAGAAGGCACCTGTTTTCTGTAATTCCTTCATAGTCAGAAGTTTGTGTATTGGAAAATAAAGAGGGTAAAAAAACACCATAAATTGTGTATCTTGTATATCTAGATATACTGGGTGGGAGTTTACTAAAATATAAAAGACTAGACCCTTAATCCTTCTTTTATAAGGCACAACAGGCTGACAACATACTGGTAATGGACGTTCAGAGGCTCCGTGACGTATCTAGGATGCGATGGTTTAATGTTTGGACAGACACACTGATACAAGGAGATATTTTAGTGGGTCTGTCCAAAATTACACCATCATATCATACATGGTTTATTTACACTATCATAAATGTGATTTGTGTTATATATTTTTAAAAGACAAAAATACATAATTATTTTTTCCAAGTTTAGTTTTGCAGTTACATCTATATGTCTCAGGTACTGAGATTTGTGTTATGAATTGAATTATGTCAGGTTAGAGTTAAGTGGGTTCTATGCCCATGCTACCACTTTCTGTTGGCTAATACTGTGAAAAAACATGCTTGTAAAAGATTAAGTCAGATAATGGTCAAAATATCCTTGGGTCTAATGCCTCAAGAGGGTAGGAAGTGGAGTATTATCTAAGAAAACCAGATTAAATTTCTTCGGCTAAATAGATACATACAAAAAAGAAAGGTTTATCTTGAAGGTGAGAGGAGGAACCAAATAAAAAATGAATTATTAAGGGTCAAGAAGAAAAAGATTTTATGCATTTCACATGTCTTATCTGCTACCAGTAGGTATAATCTGTAATTCCCCATTTCCAAATTTGTCTTAATTATTAAGAAAGTCTTATCCAAAGCAAATGATGGTTTAAAAACTATAACACAATTCTTACAGACTAATGTTTGCTGACTACAAATTAAAATACATTCACTGAATTTTATGTATTTATACCACTTATGTCTCTAATTCATGAACATTCACTTGTGGGAATGAAAACTGTCTCCATCACACTGCAACTGTCTGTGCAAAAAGCCCACAGGGTTTTTCCGTAAGATGTGGCCGTAGTAGCACGTAGTTGTCTTCTAACTTCACTGGAAACGATTTTGTCAGATTGTCTTGTGACAGCTGTCATATCAGTGTGCATTTAAAAAGAACTTACCAAAATTGGTGAATTTTTATGTAGCCATTTTAATATTGAATATGGAAAAAATATACACATCTTCAGCATATAATGCTTTATTATTTCGAGAAAGGTAAAATGCAACTGAAATGCAAAAAAAGATTTGTGCAGTGTGTGGAGAAGGTGCCGTGACTGATTGAATGTGTCAAAAGCAGTTTGCAAAGTTCTGTCCTGGAGATTTCTCGCTGGACGATGTTCCGTGGTCAGGGAGACCAGTTGAAGTTAACAGAGATCAAATAGAATATTAACTGAGAACAATCAATGTATACCATGCAGGAGACAGCCGACATACTCAATATATCCAAATCAATAAAGTTATTGGTAAAAATGAAAATGTATCTTTTATTTTATGGAAAAAACCATATATACTTTTTGGCTAACTCAACAGAGGACTATAAATAAGAAAGGGTCACTACAGTGCAGCATTAGGGAAGGCTGTGTTTGAACTTGCCTGGTCACAAAGCTAGTGAGACCCAAATTACAAGTGTAGCCCATGTTCTTCCCATTATATGCATTCTATATTTTTGGAACTTAAGTTGTAAAACAGAAATCATACAAATCATATTTCTCTTCTATCAGCACAATAAATTATGACTTTATTTGGTTTACTATACACTTAGTAGTAAGTATATACACTAGAAGATAAGTCTTTACCATACACTACAAGATAAGTCTATTTTAAAAAAAACATATATAGAATGTATATAATTAGAACATATTGTTGGTCATGTGTTTACATATTTCCATAAATACCATGGAAAATTCTGCAGTTAATTATATTCTAATGGTAGTATTTAGAATGGCACTACGGTGTTTGATTTAAAGAACAGGCTCTGGCCGCAAGGAACCCAAAATCAAAATATGGTATGTATGTGCGTGTATATGTACATACACACTTAGTAAACATGCAGGAAGGAATTAATGCTTTGATACCCTAGTGTTTCAGAGGACCAATTCTCTCTCAGGTGTTGAGTCAATAACCAGCTGCCATGGCAGGCTTCAGGCTCAACCAAGTACACACAGAAAGAAGTTTTAATCGCCCTTCTAAGTCACTTCATACAAATATTAGATCACAGCTGGTTTGGAAACAGTTTGGATTGATAGCTTGTGTAAGGTGAAAGAATGAAATAGCTCCACCTAAATTACTCATGAAACAAATTTTGTATGGTCGGAATTAAAAAGATCAAAATATTGCCACATTGTTGACTCTTTGATCTTTAAGTTAATGTCCAGTTTCCAGTATTTTAGAGGGAAAGTTAAGATGCCATCACTGTAGAACTGAAAACATACACAGATTTACACTTTCATGTTAGAAAAACAGGAAACAACTCAAGCCAGTAAACAAATCATCAGTAGGCAACCAAGGTCTTCTCCCCTAAAAAGTACTCTAACAAGCATCAGTACATATCTGTGAACCAAAGCTCTACAAAAGAAAACCTCAATCACCCACAGCTCAAAGCATGACAGTGTTGAGGGTGTGGCCCTAATGCAGAAGTTAAAGGATTATGGCAGTTGGAAAAGTGATCATTCTTAGGGGACATACTATTTAGGAACCAATCAAAACAAAATAACCCATTTAGTAAAAATTCTGCCACAAGGCTCATGACAGGCAATTTGTCTTGCAGAGTTATTTCAGGAAGGATGGCCCTAATTAGCTATCATTAAAAATAGGGAGGGATACAGTTCATAGGCCTATTATAACAAAATTGGGAGAAATGTGCTAGTTATCGCTGGGTGAGGACAAAAAAGGAACAATTTTCCCAAAAGAAAGTATCATGCGCAATTAGCACAACTGACATCACTTACTTTTGATGCAAAATGCAAGTGGCTTTCAAGCTCTTTGGCAGCTTGGAATTACAATAGTGAACCTATGGACTGTAGTCAGCTTAAAGTTACACCAAGCACATGGAGACTCTCTGGATAATATTTATACCGATTTCTTCAAGCCGTCACAGTCAAGACCTGATTAGAAATCCTGGCAGATGGAGTTAAAGGCCTCCAAAATTATGAGCTCAGAACCTAGATAATGCTTTTAAATATTATCTAGGTTCTATTTTTTAAAAAATATTTTATTTATTTATTTTTAGAGAGAGGGGATGGGAAGGAGAAATAGTGGGAGAGAAACATCAATGTGTGGTTGCCTCTCATGTGTCCCCTAATGGGGACCTAGCCTGCAACCCAGGCATGTGCCCTGACTGGGAATCGAACCGGCGACCCTTTACTTCACAGGTCTGTGCTCATTCCACTGAGCTATGCCAGCCAGGGTCTGAGCTTGTATTTTAAAAGCACTTGAATACATTCTTTTAAAAAGTACTTAATTTAATTGACAAAGCAGGCTTATGTCCAAAATTTAAAAGACTCGAAAGGTATATACAGCAGAAAAAAATGTCTTCTCATACCTGTTCCCAGTCACCCAAATTATCTCAGAGACAACCAGGTCACCTGTTCTCTCTGTGCAATGAGATTATGCACTTAATTCAGTTATGACTTCAACTACTTATTGCTGTTTCATGAGTTTATGTTATTGTCTCAACAGGATTATACACGTAAACTTCCCAAAGGCAAGGCTCAAGATGAGTGTTCTCTGTCACAACACGTAATCTAGTGTGGAATATTTACGTAGTGCCTAATAAAAATTGGTTGTGCCCTGGCCAGGGAACCCAGAGTGTTGCCCCAATATGCCACGGTTGCAGGTTTGATCCCCCACCAGGACACATAAAAGACGCAACCAATGAATGCATAAATAAGTGGAACAAAAAATTGACCTTTCTCTTCCCTTCTTCTCTTTCTAATAAATAAAAATTAAAAACAAAGCAAAACAAAAACTGGTTGAATCTGCCACCAGGTTAGAAGCCTAAGGCCCAGGTTAACAGTTAAAATGGAGCCGATTTATACTGGTTATTAAAGAACTACATATGAAAATGACCTGAGGTACTAAACTGCTACCAAAAATAAGATTACCAGAAGTGAAAAACTTGCCCAAATAAGCAACGTAGGAAAGTGTCAATCCTAGTAAATAAATGCATTTGGCTTTTGATCTCTGCTAACTAAGCAACTATACATTTTAAGTAGTATGGTAGGTTTTGACTTTTACACATTAAATTATGGTTTGGTGTTCCAAGGTGAAACAAACAGTAATTAAAATGATGTTATTCATAGACTTCCAGTTAAAATGGCATAGGAACACATGCTTCACGCCCTTGCACAACCATGAAAAGGATCACAACCTCAAAACAAAAAACACCCAGAATTGCCAGAAAATTGAACTGTATGGAGGACTGACAACTAAGGATTTAAAGAAGCCAAATTCATCCAAATGGGTAGGAGGGGTAGAGACGGAGAGCCAGGGTGGAGAGGACGTGGTGTGGCAGCCCCCGCAGCGGGCAGAATGGGCGGCCCCACATTCACACGTGGTGGATAAAGTCAGGAGGGAAACCTTGGAAGACAGTGATCCCTGCCCCAGGCCACACTGCGCAGCACCAGGACAACGAGGCCTCACAACTTCTGGCTGTAAAAACCAGTGGGGGTTAGGGCTACAGAATAAACTGCCAGTCTCTCAGGAGATTCCGTTTAAAGGGCCCGCACAGTCCTAGAACTAACACAAATTCCTGCACGCTGGGAACTACCACTGGACAAGCAGCTAGAGGAACACCAGTAGCCTATGGGAATGGGGAAGTGACTGGAAACAGGGTAGGTGCTGAACAAGCCTCCAGCAGCCAGACAGCAGCATTCTCCCCTCTCTGACTCCTCCCCCCACATACAAAGTCATGAAGTGGTGAAGTGGTTTGCCCCACCTGAGCAAATACCTAAAAATTCCGCCTCACACAGCTTAACAGGTGCACTGAGAGTCAAAGCAGCTCTACCTAATACACAGAAACAAACACAGAGAGGCTGCCAAGTGGAGGAGACAAAGAAGTATGGCCCCAACGAAACAACAGAACAGAACCCCAGAGAAAGATCTAAGCAAAACAGAGGTAGCCAACCAATCGAACGCAGAGTACGAAACACTGGTGATAAGTATGCTCAGAGAACAACTGAGTACAGCAAAAGTCTAAGGGAAGAACTGATGGCTACCCTAAGTGAAATAAAGAAAAATCTACAGGGAACCAACAGGGAAGGGAAGGAATACAGGGTTCAAATACATGAGCTGGAACATGAGGAAGAAACAAAGTCAACCAGAAGAGAATGAAGAAACAAGAATTCAAAAACCTCACGGTTTGATTCCCTGCAACTGGGTTGCAGGCCAGTTCCCAGCAGAAGACACATGAGAGGCAACCACACATGATGTTTCTCTCCCTTTCTCCTTTCCTTCCCCTCTAAAGATAAATAAATTAAATTAAAAAAAAAAAAAAGAATTCAAAAACCAGGAGTGAGTAAAATGACTCTGGGACATCTCCAAAAGTATCAACATCCGAATCATAGGAATGCCAGGAGAAAAGGAAGAGCAAGAAATTGAAAAGTTACTTGAAAAAACAATGAAAGAAAACTTCCCTAATTTGGCAAAGGAAATAGGCATAGAAGTCCAGGAAGAACACAGAGTCCCAAACAAGTTGGACCCAAAGAGGACCCACCAAGACACATCATAATTAAAATGCCAAAGGTTAGAGTTAAAGAAAGAATCTTAAAAGCAGCAAGGGAAAAGGAGACAGTTACCTACAAAGGAGTTCCTGTTAGACTATCAGCTGATTTCTCAAGAGAAACCTTACAGGCAAGAAGGGGCTGGAAAGAAGTATTCCAAGTCCTGAAATGCAAGGACTTACACCCAAGATTACTCTATCCAGCAAAACTTTCATTTAGAATGGAAGGGCACTTGGCTGGTGTAGCTCAGTGGATTGAGCGCGGGCCTGCGAACCACACGATCGCGGTTCGATTCCCAGTCAGGGCACATGCCTAGGTTGCAGGCCGGTTCCCTGCAGGCCAGTTCCCAACAGGGGATGCACAAAAGGCAACCATACATTGATGTTTCTCTCTCCTTCCCTTCCCCTCTAAAGATAAAAGAATAATAATAATAATTTTAAAATCTTAAAAAAATTATATTTAGAATGGAAAGGCAGATAAAGTGCTTCTCAGATAAGGTCAAGTTAAAGGAATTCATCAGCACCAAGCCCTTATTGTATGAAATGTTAAAGAGACTTATCTAAGAAAAAGATGATCAAAATTATGAACAGTAAAATGACAACAAAGTCACAACTGTCAACAACTGAGTCCAAAAAACAAAAATGAAGCAAATAGAAAAAGATGTGGAGATCCTTTGGAGAGTTATCAGTGGGGCGGGGGAGGCAGGAGAATAGGGGGAAAGGTACAGAGAGTAGGAAGCATAATTGGTAGGTAAAAAATAGGGAAAAGTTAAGAATAGGAGATGAAGAAGCCAAAAAACTTAAATGCACAACCCATGGACATGAACTAAGGGGAGAACTGCTGGGAGGAAGGGGGGTACGAGGTGAAGGGAGGCAAAGGGGTTACAATTGGGACAACTGCAATAGCATAATCAATAAAATATACTTTAAAAAAAGGAAATAAAGAGCTAGAGCAGGGGTCAGAAACTTTGTAAAGGGCTAGAGAATAAATATTTTAGACTTTGGGGGGAAAAATAAAAATGATGTTATTAAGTCAGCACTAACTAAACTGTCCGCATTTCCTTCTTATGTCAAGGCAGAAGGGAAAACATGATAGAACTTAAGTTTAAAGTGCAGATGAAATGCTTTTAAGACCAATCAATAATATCACAAGGAAGAAGGGGGAAATTTTATTCTTTAATTCTAACACCATGAAAAGTTTTTTTATCTAAGACTTTGCACTAGCTATTCAGGTAGACCTGATTTACTTGAATTTTCCAACATCAATTTGAAGAAATCTTTTATGTTTACATCTCAAGAGTCTGGCAGAGAACAATAAGAAAAATCAGTTGTGCGTATGTAATTTTTCTGAGAGCTTTTTAAAGCTCAGTGATAGTGAAAGCAAATCACAATTTCTTATTTCTATTTCAGGCTACTATAGTGGAACAAATAGAGCAAAAGTTGTCACTGCTAATGGTAATGAAAAATATGACTCGAAACATAAAGCTTGAAGAAATAACACATCAAAACACCTGAATGAGACATAAAATGACCATTAAAAACGCAGGCCCCAGTGGCACTTACCCCCAGCATACATGACGGCCAACATGATGGAGGATATCCACGACACTTCACTGGTGGTGGCGTTGAATATCCCTTCAATTTCTTTGAAAAACACGGTAATAGACTTGGGGAATGCATAAGAGAAGCCGATGGAAATGAAAGCTCCAACTACCACTGCCCACCCCCAGCCTCCATCTGGGGGGGTGTATCCAACTGGACCTCCAACTGCTGGTGGCATTTTAAGGGTAGATGAGTTCCAAAATGCAGTTCAAATCCAAGTATCTGAAGGATATAAAAGTAAAACAGTATGTCAAGCAATAAAGCACTCCCACCCAGCACTGCCGACAACAAACAATCCACCCATCACACCAGGCACCGAACTGTTCTTCAGTGTTCCCTGACCAAAAGACATTGTCTTCTAAGGACATTATCACAAAAAGCCTTAATGCCATGGTACTGCCCAGTTTCTAGTAGCGTAAAGGAAGATAGCTCCTCACTGTGTAAGAAACCTCAGCTAAAATAAATCCTTTCCAATAAATGTAGCCTTTATATTCCAAATAAGCCTACCTGTTTTAGTAGTTAATAATTCCTCAAATTATTCAATTTGACAATTTGAGCAATTAACCGAATACCTCCTTTAACTTATCTGCTTGCAAAATCCATGTAACACATATCCTACAAAAGTCCTGCAGTTCAATATAGGCTTTGTAAGTTTTCCCCTTTGCCAAAATGTATTTTTCAATACTTTACTTTACCTTCTCTTATTTATATGCTGACTTAAAATATCAGGAAGTAGGTACTTGACTCAGTAGATAATATAACAATTTGCAAAATAGATAATTTTGAACACAAGCATTTCATTTAATGGGTTGGAAGACTATGTCAAAAAATGATAGTTTCGAATAAAAGATTATCCCTTTTTTTGAAGCCACCTAATAATGAATAGCATGTTTAGAAAATGAAACTTGCTGTTAGATTACGAATAAGGAGAAGATGGAAGTGATGGTGATCCGTCTACCCGTTTTCTCATATAGGTCTCCTTTAATTTATTCAAAGCCAGCATCCACCCTCTATTATAACTCATCGTACAGGGGTATGTTAGCATGTTCATTTCAAATGATCTCCATGTTCATTTCAAATGATCGCCATGACCTATATTATAGGTCACAGATGACAAGCTCACTCTTCGCTACAACATTCTTCAGACTAAAACACAATCCCAGCTCCATAGTGTAGTACTTGGGTAGGAGTCAGCTCCTAACTACTGTTCCTTCCAACCCATCTGAACACTTTGAACAATACAGCGCAATGGATGTTGTAGACGTAGTAAGGAAAGAGCCCATCGGGGGGGTCTCCCCCCAAACAAGGACATAGCGTCACCATTTCTACTCAACATTGTGGTCGAGGTTCTAGCCAGCAACTGCTGGCAAGAAAAAGAAATAAAAGGCATAAAGACCAGAAAGGAGGAAGTGAAGTTGTCTTTATTTACAGATGACATAATTGTCTATGTAGGCAATGCTAAGGAATATACAAAAAAGACACAGAACTAAAAATGAACTTAACTAGGACTCATCCTATAATATCAATAAAATCAACTTTCTATAAACCAATAACAATTACTATTTGAAATTAAAAAAATACCACTTACAGTAGCGTTCAGAAACTGAATATGGGTAAATGTGATAGATGATGTGTAAGGTATCTACACTGAAAACCACAAAATATTACCAATAAATTTATTTATTAAAAATATATTTTATTGGTTATGCTATTACAGTTGTTCCATTCCCCCCCTTTATTCCCCTCTGTCTGCAACCCCCCTCCCACTCACCCCCCACCCCTTAGTTCATGTCCATGGGTCCTACAGACAAGTTCTTTGGCTTCTCCATTTCCCATACTATTCTTAACCTCCCCCTGTCTATTTGTATCTACCAATTATGCTTCTTATTCCCTGTACCTTTTTCCCCATTCTCCCTCCAACCATTGATAACCCTCCATGTGATCTCCGTGTCTGTGATTCTGTTCCTGTTCTAGTTGTTTGCTTAGTTTTCCTTTTTTTTAGGCTCAGTTGTTGATAGTTGTGTTTATTGTCATTTTATTGTTCATATTTTTGATCATCTTCTTTTTCTTAAATAAGTCCCTTTAACATTTCATATAATAAAGGCTGGGTGATGATGAACTCCTTTAACTTGACCTTATCTGGGAAGCACTTTATCTGCCCTCTCATTCTAAATGATAGTTTTGCTGCATAGAGTAATCTTGGATGTAGGTCCTTGCCTTTCAGGACTTGGAATACTGCTTTCCAGCCTCTTCTTGCCTGTAAGGTTTCTTTTGAGAAATCAGCTGATAGTCTAATGGGAGCTCCTTTGTAGGTAACTGTCTCCTTTTCTCTTGCAACTTTTAAGGTTCTCTGCTTATCTTTGATCTTGGGTAATATAATTATGATGAGCTTTGGTGTGTTCCTCCTTAGGACTCTTTGAGCTTCCTGGACTTCCTGGAAGTCTATTTCCTTTGCAAGATTGGAGAAGTTCTCCATTATTTGTTCAAATAAGTTATCCATTGCTTGCTCTTCCTCCTCTCCTTATGGCACACCAATGATTTGCATGTTGGAACATTTAAAGTTCTCCTGGAGGTTCCTAAGCCTCTCCTCATTTTTTTTGAATTCTTGTTTCTTCATTCTGTTCTGGTTGAATGTTTATTTCTTCCTTCTGCTCCAAATCGCTGATGTAAGTCCTAGTTTCCTTCCTGTCACTGTTGGTTCCCTGTACATTTCCCTTCATTTCACTTTTCACAGCCTTCACTTTTTCCTACATTTTGCAACCATACTCAACCATTTCTGTGAGCATCCTGATTACCAGCATTTTGAACTCTGCATTTGATAGGCTAGCTATCTCTTTGTCACTTAGTTGTACTTTTTCTGGAGCTTTGATCTGTTCTTTCATTAGGGCCATATATTTGTGGTCTCAGCTCCCCTATTACACTGTAAGGAGTGGAGCCTTAGGTATATGCCAGGGTGGGGCAACCCACATTGCTGTGTTGTGGTGCTGTCTGTGGGGGAGGGGTCCAAGAGGGAACAATGCCATTTGCTCAGCTCTTGGCCAGCTTTCAGTCACTTCCCCCACTACTCTCAAGTGAACTGGGCACTTCTGGTGCTGATTCCCAGGTGGGTGGGTTTATGTACGTTCTAGGACCTGTGGGTCTCTTCAGCGAACTCTCCTGTGAGGCTGGAAGTTTCTTCCACTGCTGCAACCCCCACAGGTTTTTTCAGTCAGAGGTTTTGAGGTTTTAGTTCCCTGCACTGGAACCCTGAGTTGTGCAGTCTGTCTCGCTTCCCAGTTATCTGCATGCAAACATGAGGCTGCCCAGTCTGCCAGCCACTGCCTTGCTGTGTGTCCTTTCTGTCCCTACCAGTCTGAGTGAATATTTCTTCTTTAACTCCTTGGTTGTGGAACTTCCATAAGGTTCAACTTTCTGGGAGTTCTGGTTATTTTTGTTTTGTTTTGTTTTTGTTTTTAAATGTTGGTTGTTGTTCTTCTTTTGGTTTTGCGAGGAGGCAAAGTGTATCTACCTATATAACTCTATCTTGTCTGGAAGTCTAATATTACCAAGAAATTTATAAATTAAATAGATATTCATCTTCATGGCTTGAAAGACTCAATATTTAAATTAGACAAAGATTTCTGAAGGCGCATTGAAACACTTTTACCAAAAGTTTATAAATTGTGCTCTGGCTGGGTGGCTCAGTTGGTTGGAGCATTATCCCATACACCAAAAGGCTGTGGGTTTACTGGAGGTAATGGATTGATATTTCTCTTACATTTATGTTTCTCTCTCTCTCTCTGTCTTACCCCCCCTTTCTCTAAAATCAATAAACATATCCTTGAGTGAGGATTTATAAATAAACTTATAAACTGGATTTCAAGCTACAGATTGGGATACAAAATGCATATCAATAACATAAAAGAACTTCGATGGCTCAACAGCTGAAAGACTAACAACCCAATTAAAAAATGGGCAAGAGATCTGAACAGATACTTAACCAAAGAAGATTCACAGATGGTAAGCATATAAAGAGTGCTCAGAGTTATTAGTCATTTGTGAAATGCAAATTGAAATCATAATGAGATACCATACACATCTACTAGAATGGCTGAAATTAGGAGCAGTAACACCAAGAGTTGGTGAGCATGTAAAGCAATGGAACTCTCATACTGCTAGTGGTAAAGCAAAATGGTACAGCCAGGTAGGAAAACATTTTGGCGGTTCCTTATAAATTTATATATATATATGGTTTTTAAAATTTTTTTATTGATTATGCTGTTACAGTTGTTCTATTCCCCCCTTCATTCCCCTCCACCTTACCCCCCCATTCCCACCATTACCCCCCCTTTAGTTTATGACCATGTGTCTCAATTCCTTTAGATTCTATATTTCCCGTGCTATTCTTGCCCCCCCATCTATTTTCTATCTACTGTCTATGCTACTTATTTTCTGTACCTTCTCCCCCCTTCTCCTCCTCCCACTCCCCTGTTGCTAACCCTCCTTGAGATCTTCATTTCTATGTTTCCACTCCTGATCTAGCTGTCCTTTTAGTTTGCTTTTGTTTTAGGTGTGGTTGTTAATAACTGTGAGTTTGTTGTCCTTTCACTGTTCATGTTTCTTTAACTTCTTTTTCTTAGATAAGTCCCTTTAACATTTCATATAATAAGGGCTTGGTGATGATGAACTCCTTGAATTTGATCTTATCTGAGAAGCACCTTATCTGTCCTTCCATTCTAAATGAAAGTTTTGCTGGATAGAGCAATCTTGGTTGTAGGTCTTTGGATTTCATGACTTGGAATACCTCCTTCCAGCCCCTTCTTGCCTGTAAGGTCTCTTTTGAGAAATCCGCTGACAGTCTGATGGGGACTCCTTTGTAGGTGACTGTCCCCTTAGCTCTTGCTGCTTCTAGGATTCTCTCCTTCATTTTAATTTTGGCTAAGGTAATTATGATGTGCCTTGGTGTGTTCCTTCTTGGGTCCAACTTCTTTGGGACTCTGAGCTTCCTGGATTTCTTGGAAGTCTATTTCCTTTGCCAGATTGGGGAAATTCTCCTTTATTATTTGTTCAAATAAGTTTTCCACTGGTGGCTGTGCCTTTCCCCCTTCTGGTACCCCTATAATTTGGATGTTGGAGCGTTTAAAGATGTCCTGGAGGTTCCTAAGACTCTCCTCATTTCTTTGAATTCTTGCTTCTTGACTCTTTTCTGTTTGGCCATTATTTGCTTTCTTCTGGTCCACTCCATTGATTTGAGTCCCAGTTTCCTTTTCATTGCTATTGGTGTCCTGTGCAATTCCATTCATTTCAATTAGTTTCGCCTTCATATATTTGTCTAATTTGTGGCTATAATCAACCAGTTCTATGAGGATCCTGATGACCAGTGTTTTAAACTGTGCGTCTGAGAGTTTTGCTATTTCTTCATCGCTTAGATCTATGGGCTCTGGCGCTTTGAGATCTTGCGACATTTTTGGTCTGTTCTGGCCCTTTAAGTGTGAGAAGCGGTGCCTTGGACTCCCAGGTCTCTGGGTTGTGACGCTGTATGTGGGGGCGTGGTCAGAGCGGGGAAATGGCGACCCCCTCTGCTGTTTCTCACAGCTGGGTGAGGATTAGCGTCTTAGGTGGTTCACCTGGGCCGGGCCACTCAGAGTCGCTGGGTTATGACGCTGTATGTGGAGGTGGGGTCAGAGCGGGAAATGGCGGCGCCCTCCACTGCCGCCGGCCGCGGGGACCCGCTGGGCCCCGTCCAACCGCCCACTCCCTCACCTGTCCGCCCGCGCACAAATGCGCGACCACAGTCAACACGCAGCACCGCTCCCCCGCTGTCTCCCCCGCAGTCGCTCACCTGGTGGCTCGCTGGGTCGCTCACTAGGTCCAACCCTGCGCCTGGATTCCGCGCCTGAGTCCGGCTGACCGAGACCTCCTGTGCAATCCCACTTCACCAGCCGCTGGTTTCGCCCCTTACCGGTCAGGCTGAAGACTCTGTTGTTAACGGACTTCCGAAAAGTTCAATTTTCTGTGTTCTGGCTGTGTTTTCTGTTGCTAATATTTAGTTGTCTCTAAACTTGGTTGTGTGAGAAGGCACGGCACATCCACCTATGCCTCCATCTTGACGGAAGTCCATATATGTTTAACATATGACCTACTCATTACACTTCTAGGTATTATCCAAGAGCTAGGAAAACATATACCTTCAAAGATTTAAATGAGAATTCTTTTATTCTCATTTATTCTTTTTATTCTCATTTTATTCTTGATTTATTCTTTTATTGTATGGCTAGCTTTATTCTTATTAGCCCAAAGCCGAAAATAAATCAAATATCCACCAAGTGAATTGATAAACAAGTCATGGTATAGCCATACAATGGAATCCTCCTCAGCAATAAAAAGGAACTATTCGTGCAAGAACACAGATGAATCGCAAAAGCATTACATTAAGCCCTGGCCAGGCGGTTCAGCTGGTCGAAGCGTTGTCCTGTGCACCAAAAAGTTGCTGTTCAGTCACCAGTCAGGGCATGTGTGGGAGGCAACCAATAGATGTTTCACCGTCCCTCCCTCCCATTCTTTCTCCCCCTTCCTCTGTCTCTAAAATCAATAAACATATCCTTGGGTGAGAATTTTCTTTAAAAAGCATTATATTACGTGTAAAAAGCTAGATGTAACACTATATTCTATATGGTTCAACTATAATTTGACTAAATTCAACTAGTTGATTTGAAATAAAATTTCTAGAAAAAATATACTCAATGAAATTAATAATAGGTTAATCAGCAACTGAACACAGCTGGAAGGAGACAGTGAACCTGCAGGAACCTGAAGTTCTAGAAAAGGCAAAATTCTAGTAACAGAAAACAAATCGGGGCTTGGGGAGAGGAGGCTAACTGCAAAGGGGCATTAGAGAACTCTTTCGGGGATATAAATGCTCTGTTATGATTGTGGAAGTAGTTACTCATCATCCTGTATATTTTAAATGGGTGGTTTGTACTGTTACGTAAGTCATACCTCAGTAAAGCTGATGAAAAACAAAATAGTGTGAGGGCAGTAACAAGGGATAAAATCTCTTCAGTGGCACAGGGAGACGCTAGAGAAGCAGAAGGAGTTGGCAGGCGAATGTCTTCATCTTGGCTCTCTGGGCGGCCAGAAGAAAGTAGAAGAAAAGGCAGAGGGTGAAGAAGAGTGCAGAAAACTCTCTCCCCCAAACTCACGTCTGCAGTCCTGTGTGAGCTTATGCTTTGCAGGGCAATTCTGGAAAACCTCTGTTCTTCCAAGGATGTATTATGTTGGATTTTGCTAGCAAAGATTTCTCACAGGGAAAAACCCTGCCTAATACAAACTAACAATCTAAAATTTCAAAACACATCCAGAATCAATTACTGTATTTTGCCATGTATAACGTGCACTTTTTAGCCCAATTTTTTGAGGGAAAAATAAGGGTGTGCATTAAACACGAGTCTTGTGATTTATAATGATTTGTCACATAAAATTTCCTGTACCATAAAATGTTCAAAATAAATGCTGACATTCCTTTATAATACAAAAAACAAGTATCTAAATATAAATAAGAATGAATTAAAAAATTAAAATGTTTTCCCCCCTGAAAGTTTGGGCCCAAAACATGGGTGAACCTTATAAATGGAAGCACATTATACACAGCAAAACACAGTAAATGACCATAAGTGAAGTAAAGCCAATCCAGCGTGGTTGGACTAGGTACTCAAGAATGACAGACATTAAATATGGACACTTCAAATGGCTAAAAGCATGAAGGAAGGCATTAAAAACAGTACAAAAATTAATTCGGCTAACTGATTCGAAACAAAATTTCCGGAAAAATATACTCAATGAAATTAATAGTAGGTTAATCAGCGACTGAACACAGCTGGAAGGAGACAGTGAACCTGCAGGATAGGTTTGGAGAAAAAATTCAGAACTCAGTGGAGACTCCATTGTAAAGCAATGAGAAAAAGGTTTGCAAACACAAAGAGTTTAGAGAACGGGAGGATCCAGCATACGTCTAATGGGACTTTGGAAAAAGAGAATGGAAAGGCAATTTTTCAAGGGTTAATGGCTAAAGATATAGACTTGGTGAAAAATATTAATGTACAGTATAAAGAAACCCAACGAGATAAAGAGAAAAATCTTAAAAAATAACTACTGACCCTAGCTAGTGTAGCTCAGTGGACTGAGCACAAGCTATGAACCAACATGTCACCAGTTCGATTCCCAGTCAGGGCACATGCATGGGTTGAGGGCCAGATCCCCAGTGGTGGCCACGTGAGAAGCAACTGCACATTGATGTTTCTCTCCCTCTTGTTCTACTTCCCTTCCCCTCTCTTTAAAAATAAATAAAAATAAAACCTCAAAAAAAAACTATTGAGAAAATACAGGTTACATAAATAACCACAGTGACAAAACAGAATTCTCATCAATTTTGAAAAACTCAGCCACTGTGTCTTCAAATACTGGTCCTTCCCCATTCCCTCTTTCCACTCTTCTGAGATTCCAACAGGATGTGAGTGGGACCTTCCCACCGTATCTACTCTTTCTGTTCTGTGTTTTCCATCCTTTTGTTCCTCTGTACTAAGAATTCAAGGCCCAGGACATTATCTTTCTCCAGAGAAGATTTTCATTCACCTAAAGCTGTGTAAACCCCAAATCTCTAAGAACATCATTCCAAGGGTCAAGATGTTTTAGAGGTCGTGCGATTCGTCTGCGGACCAGGTTGTCTCCTATTCACCCTTTGTCCTATGGCACAGCGCTTTAGAATCCTAGCCCAGAAGAACAGGGTGTTATCAGAGCTCTCACTCTTGAAGCCCTTGACTGTTAACATTTGCCCCTTGGACCCACGAAGCTTTCCAAAGCACTAGTCGAGCCATTGGAAACTGCTCCTTGTATAACCAGAAAGCCTTTGATTCCAGTGTCATACCACTATTGCCACAATTAGGGAACCAGCAAGATAAGAAACTGCCAAAATCAGACAATCATTTAAATTGGGGAATCAAACTGGTGACCCTTTGATTCGCAGCCCGTGTTCAATCCACTGAGCTACACAAGAGCTAATCATCCAAATCAGGAAGTCACCACAATTAGAGGCCGTTAATGTCTGCTGATAGCTCTAAAGCCCTAAAACCACAAAACCACACCATCAAAAAAGATCCCACATGTCCTGTGTGTCTCATGATCTCAAAGCCAGTGCTTAGACATGGAGACATCTATTCTACTTCTGCCCTACAAATGTCACACAAATGCATTTGACTAACAGAACTCAAATCAAATCCAGAAATATAGTTGCAAGGGAACCTAGGAAATGTAGTTTTTATCCTTTTTTTTCTTTGTAGTTTTTAGCTTTAAAGCCTGGGCAATATAGCAAAGTACACTAGAAAAGAGGATGTAATAGATGCCGAGCCCTATTTCCAACATCCATAGACAGATGCAGTATACCATTTATATAAATTTTTCAATCATGCAAAACAGTATTATATCATTTATAGACATATACTTAAGTAATACAGTCCTGGTTGCTTTGTTTAATGATGGGTACACATTCTGAGAAGTGCATCCTTAGGTGCTATCGTTGTGCCAACATCACAGTGCACTTACACAAAAATAGATGGTATAACCTACTACACACGTAGGCTGTACTAAACAGCCTACTGCCTCTAGGCTACAAAACTGTGTACCATGTTACTGTATTCAATACTGTGGGCAACTTTAACACAATGGTATTTTTCTATTAAAGTATATCTAAACATAAAAAAGGTACGTTAAAAATATGGCATGAAAGACAGTGGTACGCCTAGATGGGGTATTTACTATGAATGGAACCTGCAGAACTAGAAGCTGCTTTAGGCGAGTCAGTGAGTCAAGGGGTAAATGTGAAGAGCTAGTACATTACTGTACATAATCATAGACTTTTTTGTTGAGAGAGGAGAAGGGAGGGATAAAGAGAGGGGGACATACATCGACGTGAGCAAGAAACATCAGCTGGCTGCCTCCCATGTACACTCTGACTAGGGAACAGACGTGCAACCTAGGCATGTGCCCTGACTGGGAATGGACCTGGAGACCTGACGCCCTGCGGGACAATGCCCAACCAGATGCAGACTTTATAAACACTGAACACTTGGGTTGTACTAAATTTATTTAAAATTTTCCTTTTATCAATAAATTGACCTTAGCTTACTATAATTTTTCTTTTATAAATTTTAATTTTTTAAACTTTCTGACATAACAGTTTAAAACACATTGTACAGCTGTACAAAGTACTTTCTTTATATCCTTATCCTATAACCTTTTCCTATTTAAAAATTTTTTTTATTTTTTCTTTCTAAACTTTGTAAACTTTTTTTTCTAAAAAGATACACACTCGCCTAGGTCTACATAGGGCAGGATCATCACTATCACTATCTTCCACCTCCACACCTCACCCCACTGGACGGTCAGCAGGGACCATGATACGCCCCTGGAGCTGTTGTCCCCAGTAACAATGCCTCTGGATACTCCCGAAGGACCTGCCTGAGGCTCTTCTTGAGCAGGTGTCACTCTTTTCAGAAATCTATCCGTGGTGGTTTGCTTGTTTTTGTTTTGTTTTTAATCATAGATTTACTTGTAAGCAGATAGTGTTTTCTATTAATGAAAACCTTTCAGTATTGGGTTTGTGTTTTCTAACTTTTTTAATTTTTAAAGATTTTATTTATTTATTTTTAGAGAGAGGGGAAGGAAAGGAGAAATAGAGGGAGAGAAACATCAATGTGTGGTTGCCTCTCACATGCCCCCTACTGGGGCCTGGCCCAAAACCCAGGCATGTGCTCTGACTGGGAATCAAACTGGTGACCCTTTGGTTTGCAGGCTCCGTCCACTGAGCTACACTAGCCAGGGCTACTTTCAAACTTTCAAAAGAGCTTATTGAGGTCTACAAAAGCTTATGCTAAACCCTTCACTGTGAATTTTCTTATGAATTTTGTTTGTTTTTCTTCTGCAGTTTTCTGTTCTTTTGCTTCTTCTTCAGCTATACATTCCCGTTCCAGTTCCAACAAGCCCTTGGTCAATTTCCAGGAACCACCTCTAGGTCATCCTCATCCACAGCAACATTAAAGTTGTGTGCCATTTCCACCACTGCCTTGTGGAATTTTGCAACCTCTTCATCCTC